TGAGTGCAAGATAGAGCCCATAGTCTTCATCATTTAAAGGCATAATCTCTGTCATTTATAAAGAGCTTTTATAGAACCAACATTTCCTCTAATGCCTTTAAAAGTTGAGTGGGAAACAGATTTAAATACCACGTTTTCACATAATCTTTCATTCTATTCCACACTTCCTCCATTTGATTACAACACAGTTTTATGCAATGTAAAAAACTTCACCACAGACCGAAAACCATCAAAATTGTTTCCTGAGGTGAGCCCTGCATGTAACCACTGCAAATCAACCCCAGTTCACATGCTCTGGTCATGCAGCAACATCAAAGAATGTCTTAAATCTTTTCTTTAATTTTTAGCTGTCTCTATAAATAAGTTAATCTTGTGTTATTTCCTACAGTGTCCCTCTCAAAAGCAGAGGCAGATTGCATTATCTTTGCCCATATCTGATCCTTCTGAAATGGAAAGACACTTCCTCACTCAGCTTTACGCAATGGGTTCATGACTTATTGTTCTTCATTAAATTAGAGAAAAATCCATTTTGTTTAAGGGGTTGCAAGAATCAGTTTTACAAATTATTAACATCCAGCTGCCTTCTACAGCGTAATATAAACTCTCCGTTATACACCCATACATACATCTGGGGTGTAACCAGCCAGACATGAGCCCTTGTTATTTTTATGTCTATATTGTATATCTATATATACTTACAATTCCAACCACCATTTATTTGTATCACCTCAGGTAATATACAGCTATTACTTACATTTATTTATGTTCATCTTTAGTTATATATATATTTAGTAAACCTACTTTAATGTCATGTCAGTGCTGTCATTGTTTGTTGTTGTCCTTTATTGCTGTTATGTTAAAAAAATAAAAATAAAATAAAAATAAAATAAATACAGCTTACCTCGTGACGGCAATAACAGCAGTCACAATCAGAAGCACAGCAACAGTAGCAATGATTAGTACTTTTCTGGTAAATGTTGCCCGATATTCTGTGAAACAAAGGTTGTGTGTTAGCTCTGTGACACCGACTTAATCAATCTCAAAACATGTGACATTATTTATAAAAGTGATTAAATAAATTAACCCTAGATACTCCCTGTTCGACCTCTTTGGGGTCAAAAAGATGTAGGCCAAACAAAATAAATAAATATTTTTATGCTTATCCTATACAACAAATAATAAAACATTTAATATGGCCTTATTTGGTGTAATAACAGTGCTTTATCATAATTTCTGTATTTTTGTATGTGGGAACCCAAACAATGATAAAGCAAAGTCAATGTCAACAAAACAAAACAGTTAAGGAGTAAGGGAAAACAAATCTGTTCATTATGATTAAATTATTCACTAAACAACTGGTAACAGCAACCATATAAGGCAACTTACCTTTGATCTTTAAAGTCACAACAGAGGAGTTTTGACTTCCATGTTTGTTGGTGGCAGTGCAGAAATACTGGCCTCCTTCAGCAGAGAGGAACACAGGCTGGTGTCCGACTGCTATGTTATCAACTGCGTCTTTTTTAAACCAGGTATAATTCTCCACTGGGGGGTTCGCATGGCTGCTACAGATCATGGTGAAGTTGCTGCTGCTGCTGGGGTCTATCTCCCATGATGGTCTGACAGACGCTGACGTGTTCTTTGGGCCATCTGAAAGGAAACTGTTAACTGTCAGAGAACATTATGGCGCAAAAGTCACTAATTGATTATTTTGGTCATTGAGTGAAAATTTCTAATGTTTTATCTAAATTCGATCAATTTATTTCTTTGTGTAAAGTGGTGATCTGTGCCGATACTTACATCAACATCAATATTTTTATGACTCCATGACAATTTTCCGTGAATGTCATTAGAGAGTTGCTTAAATAAAGTACAGGTCCTTCACTGAATGGTTCTCCGCTCTTAAACCAGGTGAAAGCAGATGAAAGATCATCACAGCTGTTTATGCAGGTCAGATTGACGGAGTCGCCTTCCTTCACTGTTCCGTTCACATTAGGTTTTGTCATGGAAATGTTCAACTCTAGAAGAGCAGAGTATTGTTTCAGTATCAAACTTTACAGCTTAAAGTGTGGAGAAGATTTCCAACTATAGTTAGTTTATGAAAAAGAAAAAGAAAACTTACCACCAACCTTTAATGTTGAGCCCTCTCTACCAGTCCATTTGCCATCTTTGGAGTTAGTTATAAATCTGAAGGTGTATTTCCCTTTATCACTATGCTCTACTTGGCGTATTTCAAAAGAACAGTCTTTTTTGTCACCATTATAGTGAAATCTTGGGGAGGTATTATTGGATTTGCTATCATATATAAAAGGACCATCAAACATATTACAACACTCATGACCCCACATAACTCTCTTCACTCTCTGTTTGTCTGGATAATGAAATGAACAAGGAATGACAACAGTCGAGCCTTTCACTGCACAGATATGTTCCCGTTGATATTTCACTTTCCATTCATCGCAGAGGACACCTGAAAATGCATTACTGCATAAATAATTTCATTCTTTAAATGTTACCTTAAATAAGATGTAAATGTTGTACTTACCATACAGAAACAGTAGCATCAGAGTCCGTGTCAGGTTTCTGTGGTGAAGACACATGTTTGAAACTCTGTCTAAGTAAAGTTAAAAAAAAAAAGCCAAAGCTCCTATTTGATGTTAGAGTCTTTGCAAACAGTTTTGGCTACACTGATCGTTTTCAACTCAAAATACCAAATTACCATGTCTTCTCTCCTCTCCTTCTACAGAGAAAAGCATAATATAACGTTTTTGATTGTTCTCAGCCCCTGAAATCAGGTCACACACACCACAAACTCAATGCACAGCTCAAATTTGGATGTGAGCGTATGAAACCAGGCCCTGCACAGAGGAAATGTGTCACATGCTTATGCCACTTTTTTGTGGCACAGTCAGAGGTACTTTGGCATTGTGATTTTTTTTAACACAATTAGACCACTCTGACCAAGTGTTAGGTGGATGTCTGTATTCAATTGTTGAGCATTGTTTGTTTTATACAGGTTCCATGGTTACTTTTGGTAACTTGGTTCTTAAATGGAAAGTTGTAATATCTGCATACATGGGATCTATTGTTGAACATGTACATTTTATACACTGTACCAGTAGCAGCTATTAAAAAGGGGGAACTCAACTCAACAACAATTTCACACATCATTTTACTCATCATGTCTGTTCAGTGGTCTTTGGGAGGGGGCCGTACTGTAGTTTGCACCCTGATTTTTTTTGCAACTACAGTGAAAGTGAAAAAAGGGAGGTGAGGGGGGCTGCGTGAAATCTGGTATTGCCTCAATGTCATGTCACTTGAGTCAGCGTCGGTCGGGAGTGAAGACTACACGTTTGAAAATGAAAAGTCTGGAGGTGTGGAAATAAATAAGTGAGCCCTCATCTCTGCTTCTGACTAGAGTTTTGAGACAATATTAGCCACATTAGCCGCTATCATAACACAAATGAATCTCCGATTGCACTGCGGGTGGTCGAGTTGCAGCGTGGGTAATGTAGATCAGGTTTTGACACTGAAGAAGATTCTTTTGATGTTTTTTTTTTAAACTGTCCATTATGGGTCTGACAATGTTATAAGTGTAGTAAATTAGTGCAGTTCTAAAGGCAGACTAGAAGAAACAAGTGTCACCTCGTTCTCTTGGTACATTTTGTTGAAGAACTTTTACGCAGCATTAGGCAGTTTTTGCCACGAAGACTTGCGTGCAGACTCTAAGTTGTGTATATTTCTGTATGTGTTAGGTGGAACTATGGGGAGTTTATCCTCTTTGGTATATTGACACATTGTTGCATCAATAAAAAGAAAGACCACTAGCTGTGAGCAAATGTACCAAATTTAATAAGAAATAAATGTCTATGTATTTTATTTCTTTCACATTTTCCCAGTTTTTACTGCCTGTTGAACCTGCTACAATTGTTGTAGGTTTACAGTTGGCAACATCATTTTAGATAACTCTTGTTGAGCTCTGGAACTGAAGACTACAGAAAGCTAATAAACTTTCACAGTGCCAAAACCACAGGAGTGTATGTGATTTTAAAACACGCCAGAAAGAAACTTAACAGCCGGTGGGTGCATGCACAAACCACACGTTTGACCCAGAGGTGTGATATAAGAAATACAAATTTTGGCTGCTAGCAGACTTTACCCTTCTGAGGGAAGCAGAGACAAGAAAAGGCATGATGTGAAAATATGTCAGAATGGGTCTCAGACCACCAGTCGTTCCTTTTTATTGAATCAGGCACAAGGAGAACAATGAAACACTCTATACTACAGACTCTTTGTGAATTCTAATACTCACAGCCAACAGAATCATTGCAACAGCAATATTTGTAATATTTACTGCAATGCAGGTGCAGCGCATCTCACAAATATGTAAAATATAGAGCAATATATACCCTCAAAACATTATGACTATCAATACACCTGTTTCTGCAAAACGGCACGTGTTTATTGTCAAATCAGTAATGCTCCATATATGAAGGGTTCAACGGTTGTTTCCTGAAAAAGAGAACAAAAAAAGGTTTGCATGTAATCTGCTTTAAACAAATAATTGTTCATTAAAAGTGTTTCCTGAGCTTTACCTGCACCACACTGTGCTGTAAATCACATCTTCATCGTCATCATGGCAGTTCCTCGGCTGCTCCCTGCCAGTGATATAGTCAGTCAGTACACGTGCCTCCGATGCAGAAAATGTGACAAAAATGGATACAAGTAACATCTCACGTGTTTGATGTTCTTTTGTTGTTGAAGTCAACAGTTGCATAGACAACTTCTGTTGTTCCTTCCACACACCGATTTCCCTCGTCTGACTGGATATTTTCACAACTGAGCCAGTTGACATAGTCTGTATGCTGAACACAACCATGAAGAAATAACACAAGATTAATTAGTGTAGAACTATCTCCTCCTCTTACATCTGTCTTTACTTTTCTGTGAAGAGGTTCTCTGTGAATACCCACACAACAAAAACAACCTCTGTGTTCTCTTATCTGATACCAATCGTGTGTTTGTTATTTAGCAGAGTCTTCGGATGTGGGTTCAGCTTGCCTTTCACCTGCCTATCTTAGTTGCAGACAATCACTGATCAACTGACAGCCCTAGTTGTACACTGTGAAACTGTGAGTCACTCATTCCAATGAATTAACTCAAAAATAATCTTATGTTTTGAGTGCACTAAAATGTGTGCAGAATCTTAACTATTGGTGTAATCCCAGTTTGTTGACTGCTATGATGCCATATAGTTTAGGGTTTTGTTTTATCTTTGTTTTTATTACAGTTTGTAATGCATCTAAATGATTCTCAATGATCCCCCCAAAGTGTAAAGATTTGATGTTGGTCACATAAAAAAAAAGTAGTCTATTGTCGAAAAGTTCATAATAACAGTAACAATTAGATTAGTTCATCCAGAGGAAATTAAGAAATGCTGCATATGAGTGTAATATATTTACTAGTTACTTTAAGAATAAATACTTGACTTAAATTGTTAGTAAATTTAAACAATTTGGGACAATCAGTTTCCTTGAACAGTTTTAGATTAACTACCTCATCGGGTTATACAGTGTAATACAGAGCGTACTGAATATAATGGATGCCAGAAAAAGTCAGAATATAACAGAAAGTAAAGAACTAAAAAGCCAGAAATAACCATGTCCTCCCCATAGTCTGTCTGTGGTGTCCGCTTCCTTTCTCTGTTGAGTCTGAAACAGATAAACAGAATTATTGTTATATAATCTTGATATACAGTAATCCCCAGAGCAGTGGTGGAAACTAAGTAAATACTTTCCACCACTTGTACTTTACTAGTACTTCCATTTAATGCTAATTTATACTTCCACTCTGCTATACATTTTGAAGGGAAATGTCATACTTTTTACTCCACTACATTTATCTGACAAAATTACGATTTTACATAAAAACAAACATGTTATAGACTATTTAACATCAGATTAATGTAGAGGGGCACGTGTCTGAAAAGGGCTATGAATACAATTTACAGCTTAATTTGTGAAAATTAATGCTTCTTGAATTTCCCGCTCTACCCTCATGTAATCCCTGCAATGGCATCTTAGGGCCCTATCTTGCCGATC